CTGCACCTTTATTTCCCTCGCAGTTCAGGCTGGTTTCTGGATGTGAGGCTAAGACCAGGCCTGTTCAGCCTGCAGCCGTCAGTGCACCTTCGTTGGGCTGGGCGCTGCTAGATGGACTCAGCAGTGGTTCTGAGATCTGAGCTTAGCTGGCCTTCTCCAAGATGGTTCCTGGTCAACTGTGCTCTCATGGGGGGTGATCGAGCCTTCAGCACTCACCACCAGCTGGTCCAGTCCTTCAACTCCACTGTTCCCTTGTTCCACTTGTTGCTACTGCTGTGTCTCCCCATGGAGCTTTCTGGAGTTGACAGCAGCCACCGTGTGTCCACAGGTTTCAACTGCTCCTTCTACAAAGTGAGCCCCAATTCTGCTGGCTACCTTCTCTTTCTTCTTCATTAAACTTCTTCTCTTTGCTCTTCCTTGGGCTTCAATTTTTACTTCAGATCCTTCCTGGGTTCAGAGGACCCACTTTCCCCCATCTTCTCTTCGTCTCATTGCTACATTCCTAAGTCTGGATGGCAACTCTCAAAGAGGCTCTGTCTCTGTTGCTTACATTCTGCCATCTTCCCAGAAGTCAAGAAAACTTTTTTAAAACAAATTCTGAAGTGCCATGGGTCTATGGGACCCTCTGTGATAATCAAGCAAACGTACACAAGACCAGTTCAATGGAGCATAATGTGTGTAAAAATCCTGTTTTGTCACTTTTGCAAAAATGTACACATCTTACTGTTTATTATATCAAGTGGATAAACACATAGATTGCTTCCTGTATCCCTCAGGGAAAGGTACTGAGATGCATAGTTGGCTACTATTACATGAAAGTAGAAATTTACAGTAGAAAAGCAAGGGATGGGTCCTCTGGATGCAGTGTTATGTTCTTCAGGCTACGTGGTCCTTACAGAAACTACGTCGTGGTCACAATACAACAGTGCAGCACCACACACTCAGGCAAGGAGAGATGTGGTTAGTCTAGAAGCAGGGCCAGAGGACATGCATACACTGGGGTCTAGTCCTAGTGACCAAGGTGCTTTTTCCCACTCTGCTTAGTTGGGAGTGTTCTGCTCACATTCACGTGGGACAGACACCAGCATGCCTTAGGGTCTGTCCTGGGCAGCTCTGTGACATGACAATGGAAGGGAACTGGGCTGTGTGGACCTCTCGTTGGTTTACTACATCACTGACTTGACCTCAGCAGCTATCCTGTTGGTCTGCTGCGTCACTGACACAATATTAGTGATAGCTGGTGAGCACCAAGGTGCAGGACACTGAAGCCATTTGTGGGAGACAATCATGAGAGAGATCATGACATTTAAGGAGCCTTCCTCAAGTACTTAGGTATCCAGGGATTGGGACCATGGAGGGGTGTCCCCTCCATCCTGCATCTCATGTCTGCATCATGAAGGAAGAAGACCAGGAGTTCTGTGGTTCTGTGGGCAGCACACACTGCATGCCCAGAAAGAACACTAAGATCCATTTATCAAGTGAGATGAAAGGACTTGACCCACCTTTCCTGCTGTGTGGGTGGTGTTATAGTTTGTGTCTAGGTGGCCCCTCAAGTCTCATGCAGTCATGGAGGTGGCTGAATTTAGCATTTGTGATTGGTTCGTTGTCTACTGCTGGGACTGGTGGTGTGAGTGCTGCACCCACCAAGGGATGAAGCCAGCACACACTATAAGTGAGGGAATAGGCATGTTTTTTGCTCTTTTGTCCTTTTGCTCTTACTGTTTGCAGCTGCATCGAATAGTTGTCCCTCAGCCACATCATACTGCCTTGCAGCCAGCTGAGTATGAACTGAAACCTCCAAAAACTGTAAACTAAATAAACTTGTCTTTCCTTAGTTTTGGGCATCAGATATTTTGTCTCAGCAATGAGAGAAAAGTAACCAAGATAGTCGGGAAGCAGACTTCGGTGACAGTGCCCACTCCAGGGCAGAGCAGTGTGTGGGGTGATAGCAGGCTCAGATCACCATATCTGGTAGCAAAGGGGTGCCAGCATTCTGTGTTGGCCCACAATGTAGTGGGCACCACCTGCAAATCTTTGACTGAGCAATCAAGATACAGAGGCAGCAGCCTGGTGATGAAATCCTCTATAAACAATGGGTTATGTCCATCCTAAGATGATGCCTGTCAGTCACATCCTACTGTGTCCCCAGCTGGCTGGAGACACAGGCTTGGGGACCCAGAGGTGGAAAAAGACACGACCCTGCTTCTCATTGCTCCTGTAATCTATCTGGGAACCCTGTGTTTTCCCTTCACAGTTCTAGGTCTGGGCGGTCAAAGGTCCCCGTGTATTCCACTAACATTCAAGCTGGAATAGCCAATGGTCGTGTTAAGACTCTCACACTTCAAGTCTAACTGAAGATGACTGACAGGAGGCAGAGCCATGGATACATGTCTCCGAGTAACCCTTGCTCTACTGTGTGTATGTCTGTGTGTCTGTGTGCACATGAGTGTGTGCCCATGTATATATGGTACTGGGGATTGAACCTAGCGACTTGGCACTGAGCTGCCTCCCCAGTCTCTCTTCCATATATATTTTGAGATAGGGCCTCTCCAAATTGCCAAGCAGCTCAGGCTGGGTTTGAACTTACAATCCTCCTGCCTCAGTGTTCCAGAGTGCTAGGATTACTGGAGTGCTGCACCACACTGGGCTCCCTTGCCCAGTTTTGATTTTCAGGGGACAAGTGAGATCAGTGAGGTGACCCACATCTTCCACTCCTCGAAGATTTGGGTGTGGTCACCTCTTCTAGTTGAGCAGTGGTGCTGGAGGAGGGTGCAGGAAGTCTGGAGCAGATGGCAGGGGAGGGAAAGAAGGGAATCACCTAGAGCCTGGAGATGGAATGCAGCACCAGAAGCTGCAGCTGAGCCCTGATCTTGTAAGTTTCCCCAAGAAAGAAACCAATGGGGAAGGAAACAAGTGGACTTTCCATGTCAGAAGGAGGACACTTGCTCAGGTTTATCCTCAAAACTCAGGGAATTCCTAGTCCTTTTTCCTTGCTCCAGTTTGCAAAAGGATGGTGCTCAGGCATATTATTATCTCTGTCCTCTAGCCAGCGAGCAGGTGATTCTCTGGGGTCCTCTGACAGAACAGTCTTTGCCCTATTCTATGTGGAAGCTACCAGCTTCCAAGCCCTACCCACCACAGAGAACTCACAGCCCACGTCTTAGAGCCTTGGTGTTTTAAGACGGGTCAGGAAAGTCATCAAGACACTGACAATCCAACACAGGAGAAAGTCAAGGGAGAATAGGTACTAGAGGACAAATGAAGGAGCAAGGAGAAACTTCAAAAATTATAGTCACAGGGCTAGGGATGTGGCTCAGTGATAGAGCTTTTGCCTTGTATGCACAAGGCCCTGGGTTCCATCCCAGCCCCATGAAAACACAAATAAAAAACAAAAGTTAAGGTAGAGAGCATTAAAGAGATGAAGAAAAAATGATTCATCAATAAAAGGAATATTCAAGGGAAACTGAAAACTCAACAAAGGCATTAACAGACAATGGGAAAAATTAACAGACAATGAGAAAAATTCTTGCAGAAAGCTGAACAAATCTCCCTGAAAGAAACAGGAAAAAGAGAAATAAAAAGACAGAAAAAGCGTGTATGTGTGTGTGTGCACACAGATAAAGGTAGTATAAAATAGTGAAAAAATCCTTATCTGCATAGAAGGATGGCAGAAAAACATTATAAAATTGAAAAGACTCAAGAGATAACGAATCAAGAGATAATAGTCAAATTTTACTACATAGATGATGGAGGTAACACAAGAATCAGAGTGTGTCAGTGTGTCAGTGATGGGTATGTTAGTCTGTCTTACTGTCACTATGACAAAAGATCTGAAAGTCAATTTCACAGAGGAAAGGTTAATTCTAACTCACCATTTCTCAGGTTTCAGTCCATGCTTGCTGGTTCCACTATTTTTAGGCTTTTAGACCACTATTTTCATGGCAGAAGGGCATGGTGCAGGAGAGCTGCTTGCCAGTGGTGGCCAGGAAGGAAAAAACCCCCAGGGAAGAGACCAGAGTAAAAACCCTTCCCTTCAAAGCTCCGCTATGACCTGCTCTATGCTATCAGACACGACCTCCTAACAAGGTCACTGAGCTGAGATGAAATGGATTCCTCCACCAATGAGGTTAGAGTAACCCTTGTGACCCAGTCACTTCCAAAAGCCCCATTTCTGACTCTGCTGCACTGGGGACCAAACCCCAAAACGGGACACTTGGGGGACCCATCATATCTAAACCAAAGCATGGGGATTTGAGTGCTCCATGTGTCACTGTCTTATCTTTAAAATAATTCCTATGTTTTAAAGTCTCTTTTCCATGCTGGACATCCTGTTAATCCACTATTAATGTAATGTTAGCTATCCCTATTATGTGGAAGCAGAAGAGGTTAAAAGAAATAAAATACAGGGTTCTTTAGGTTAAAGGAAAAAAGAGTCTTGTGATTTCTGCAGTTTAAGAAATCTTAAATTTGAATCACTTTTCTCCAAAGAAAGGCTTCTTAATTTTCAAAATTTTATAAATACCTTGATAAAAAAGTTTTGTCTGGTACCAAATAGCAAAGTTCCAAAGTATAACAAACAATGAGCAGAGGAAAATCAATCTTTAGAAAAATATGTATGAGCCCATTTACACAAAACCAGATCAAACAAAAAAAAGTCCAAAGGTCCTCATATGCCTGTGTGCACAAATCTGTACAAAAGTGCATGCATGCAAATGGGGCCTGGACACCAGGGTAAACTGTCATGATGGCGACCACTGCCGACACATATGGCTGTGACAGGAGACTCGTGTGGACTGGTGATTAGTGACAATGATGCACCTGGGGCAGACAGGGCCCCATCTCACTTCTGCCATTCCCTTGCCCTACTCCCGTTATGAAAAACACAGAGGCCCAGACTTGACGACACTTGCTTTTTCAGAGAATGCTACTATTCTAGTCCTAGGATTCCACAGCTTCCCCCAACAGCTCTGGCTTCAGAGCCCACGCGAGTGGTGCTTTACCTCCAGGTGGCCCTGCTGGATCTTGTACACCACCTGCGGGTCCTCCTGCAGTATGCTGCCATACAGCTCACGGAAGTGGGCTACGTTGGGCTTCACGATGTTCAGTACCTTCGCCTTTTCCTCCCCGATCACCATGCGGAAGTCACCTGGTGAGTGAGCAAAATCTGCTATGAAGAATACACACTGTGATCTATGAACCACTTCTCCCACTCTACCACTGCACTGGTCCGACCTGGCAGGACTCATTAAAACACTTTCTTTTCCTCCTTGAAACATGAACACCCAACCCAAGGAAGGCAGGCAGGCAGGCACTTACTTGGGAGACAAATGCCTCTAGCATCAGAAAGCCCTACTTGCAAATAAAACATAGAACATGGCTTTCCAGGCACCAAGGCAATTCTCAAGAGAAGTGATTCACTACTGTTTTCTCCTGCAGGTGTTCCTGTGCCTCCAGGAACCTGCCCACCTGAGCCAACCACAGTACAGGAACCGTGCACTGCGTGCAGAGTCACCCTGACTGACTGGGTGAGGACCACTAAGTGGCTTTCTAGGTCTGATAAGCCTTATTACATTTGATTAAGGGAAGGGCAGTGAGTGGTAAGAGTCCTGGTGAGAAGGTTTATCTTTAAGATGGAACTGAGAGCAAATGCAACTTTAAAAATCCTGAGTGCCAATGATCAGGAATGCTACCTCTGCCTATGAGTTGCAAAATAAACAATTCTGAAGGACAGAGGGCAACTTTGGAAAGAAATGAACAGTGCGCAGCCTCTGCCCTTGACAAGCATCAGAAGGATGTGCAAGACCAAGAAGGGATGAAATGGGAGGACGAAGTGAAGGCCTAGCAGGGTGACCTGAATTCAGACAGGGCTGGCGGTTAGCACACACTAGTAATCCCAGAACCGTGGGAAGCTGAGGCAGGAAGATTGCAAATTTGAGACCAGCCTGGGCAACCTGGCAACTCAGCAAGACCCTGCCTCAAAATTTAAATAAATGTTTGAATAAATGAAAGAATGGATGGATGGATGGGCTGGGTGTCAAGCTCAGAGAGAAGGTCCTGGGTTCAATCCTAGTAGATCACACATGCAAAAAACCAAACCAAACAAACAAAAAAACCCCAAAAGGTAGGTAGGGCAGGGTGCAGCTCAGCGGAAGTGCACAAACTTTACAGGCAGGGACACTGGGCATGAAAAATGAGCTCGACACAAAGTGCTGGATTATCTTGGGAGGGAGAGCGACGTGGCTGACAGGTGGCGAAATCTTGGCTGGAGAGATGGGGAGTTGCCAGCGGCAGGGTGGGACAAGGGTAGGCAGACAGCCTAGCAGCAGAGGAAACCTCTGGGGCCAGGGTGACAGTGCAATCTGTCACCAAACTGGGTCACTTGTGAGGGTGAAGACAGTGTCGCAGCAGTCACACCAGAACAGCAAGTGCTAGCACCTTGCTAGAGCCCGCTGGTGGCTCATTTCAGGGAAAGTTAAAATATGAAGATGTCTGCAGTGGTTTGGATGTGATTTTTCCCTTCAAAACTCACAGTGGGGTGTAGTCTCCGAGTAGGGTGACTAAGAGGGCAGAGACTCAATCTGACCCTGGTGCTTAGAGGTGGCACTTTTGAGAGGTGGTCAGGGTTAGATGCCATTAGGTGGAGCCCCAGGACTACTGCTGGTGGCTTCATGAAAGGAAAAGTCTGGGCTTGGTAGCACATGTCTGTGATCCCTCCTGCTGAGGCAGGATGGCCACCAGTCCAAGGACAGGCTGGACCTCATAGTGAGAACCTGTCACAAAAAGAAGCAAAAGCAAAAAATCGAAAAAAAAGATAAAACAAAGGAGATAGCCGCACACCTGCTGCCCAGGCCGCCAGGGCAGCTGCAGTGGGCAGGTGAACACCGCATGGTGCTCAGCTAGGTCCTGGGGCTAGACTCCAGGCCAACAGCAACCTTTTCTTTTTATTTCAGTTACCAAGGCAGTGTGCACATGCCAACAGCATGTTCCAGACACAGGCATCACGTACATGGACAGCACGTGTGTTCTGCTTTCCTGGCCTTTTGTGGGACATACTTGACACATGGCTGGTCTTGCTGTTTTGTCAGCAGGTCTTATTATATTATGCAATATGTGGTTAACAGGAACATGAAATACTAATAAGATAAAGTATTAAATTCTTAATAAATAGCAACATCTTCACATCAGCATGTACTTGTTTATAAAACCTACAAGATAACATCAGAAATAAATTCCTATATGACCTGCGAGGAAAATACCATTAGTACTCTTAAAAAAAATCTTTACTTCAATTAGCACACCTAAATACAAAGTAAGATGTCAATAAAATAAAATAATAGCCTTCAAATGCTGAGATTACAGGTGTGTGCCACCACACCTGGCTTGATGATGATTCACTTTTGATCTCCTCTAAAACTTGCAAATTTGCTTTATTCATGTGCCGTTGTATTGAATTGGGTTACTTCTATCAGAAAAATCAGAAGGAAACTTTTTTTAAAGAAATAAGTTCTGGAGTGCCAAAGGTGTATTATAGGTACTCAGGTATTCATATGCAAAAAGATGGTTCTACAGAGCATAACACGGGTATAAATTCTGGTTTGACACTTTTGCATACATGCACATACCTTGCCTTTTGTTGAGGCAATGTGGGTAAACACAAAAATTGCCTCCTGTATTCCTCAAGGAAAGATACTGAGATACTCTGCTGGCTACTATTATGCTAACATAAAAAATTTAGAGTGGAAAAGTAAGGTAGGTGTATGAGGTACACTGCTATACTCAGGGCTAGGAGTGCAGCAAGATGGCCGAGAGCCTCCCGAGAATAGCTAGGCCCTGGGTTTGGCTGCAGCACTTTACAAGGGTGAGGAGACTAAAACAGTGTTTCTAGACGGCAGTCTCATGTGCCATCTAGAATGCGTTCTCCAAAATATCTCGACAGCCGGGGAAAACACTACTGCACTGGATCCATGGGGAAGGGAAAGGCCCTGGTGGGCAAATCAGGACTAGGCTTTGCTTTCTGTAGAGAAACACAGGGCAGGGTGAGGACTCAGGAAGGAACCATGATTGACTGCAGCCCCCATGCATCAGTAAGCACCCCACAGAGGGAGCAAAGAGAGACAAACACACCTGCCATCGAATCCCACAGTGGGACAAGGACCCCAGACAGCCCTGTAAGTTCCACAGAGTGTCAGACTGCAGAATGCTGAGGGAGAAGCCCAGGCAGGAAGAGACGATGGTGAGGCACGGAGGCAGTGAGATCCCGGTGGGAGCTAGGACTGAGCTGTAAGGCTGGGGGAAACTGTCCCAGGAGAACGGGACAAGCAGGACAGATCCTGCACAGACAGCAAGTTGAGGAAGAGTGTAGTCACAGAACAAGACCTGTGTTCCAAGGACACTCAGGTTAGGCAAGCTCCCAGGGCTTCGGGGTTCTAAGTGCTGACTGAGGCCGGGACGTAATCAGCTCATGGCTCTCAGGGCCTGGAAGCAGCACCCATGGAGAATGCTTAGAGCAGTGCCTGACGCCACTATGGAACCCACAATGCTAGAGGCACAGGGTAACGACCACCCCTCCAGGAGTGTTGCATCCTCAGAATCGAGCAGGTCATTGAGAGGTGACACAGAGTTCTAACTGAAGCCTCAGCACAGTTTATGGCCCCAAGGGGAGAGAAGCAGGTTCCAAATCCCAGAGCACCAGCAAGACTGTGAGACTTTGGATGGCCTCAACATGGTGGATGAGCCCTTGCGGCTCTCACATCACAGGAAGTATTTTTCTTCAGACTTTCTTTGCAATAATCCTCTGGCCTCAGCCACCTGAGTGCTGGGATTATAAGTGTGCACTGCCATGCCCAGCTCTCCTGACTTTTACAGGGACTCACTATGTAGTCCAGGCTGGCCTCGAACTGATGGCAATCAGCCTCCTGAATGCTAGGATGACAGGTGTACACTACCCTGTCTGCTTCTCTTCTGACTCGTACTGGGACTTAGCTAGGAATGTTAAATCAAACCACACCCAGGACACGGTGCCTACTGCTGAGTTCCTCACAAGAATTACTCAATGGCAATTTTTTGTGGCTTTCTTTATTCCTCGAAGTGGTCCTGCCGTTCTCAGACCCCAGGATTGAAAGCAGCTTGTTCTCTTACAGGGGGGTGCTAGAAAGTGTTTCTCATTCCTTCCAACCTTGAAGCATCACATGCATGGGAGCTGTCACGTTTGAATTCTCCTAGTCTAAGTATTCTGCTGGTCTTAACAGGCATTTTTGTACAATTCTTTCTTGAGGGGTGGGGCTGGGCATCAACACAGGGTCTATGCACTGAGCTCCATTTCAGCCCTTTTTATGTAGAGACAGGGTTTTACTAAGTTGCTAAATTGCCCAGGCTGGGCTTGAACTTGCAAACTCCCTGCCTCAGTCTCCCACAGTAGTGGGATTGCAGACTGTATTTCACGTGCAGCTTCACTTTAATTCTTTTGACAGTGGAATCCCACAAAGTTTGTGCCTCCTTTTGCCCCACCAATTTTTGTAAACTGTAAAAAGGACTCCCAGGGGTGTCAGTAATTATGTTGTCATCCTGGGTAGCCTGATGTCATGGTGTCAATCACCCTTCAGATGACAGTGTGCCAGCCTGAGGAACATGTGACCACAGCACATTAGTGATACTCATGCCGATCCTCTCCTGCACGCTGCAAACATGTCTCACAGAGGTTATCCCAAGGCAGGTATCATTGGGAGCCACTGCTTTTATGAGCAAGAACTCAGGGGACTAGAGAAGTACTACACACACCTGGGATGCAGGTACTAGGTCCATATCCACCACATGCGGGGCCTGAGACAGGACTGCACTGGCCTGTTTCTCCTCTGTGACCTGGGGCTGGAGCACGGCCCCCAAGCAGAAGGCTACCATGATTAAATTGTTGCAACACTGAAGTATGGACAGCACATGGGGCACTGAGTAACACAAGCTGTATTCTCCTGCGCAGAACACAGACTGCAATGCCATCAGTCGTGGCTCCCCCCACCTGCCTCATCTCCCGGCACGTGTATGTCCTGGTGGCACCGCTGACCCCTATGCCTGCTCCCCGCAATGGAGCTGCCTGGAGCACAGGCTCCCTTTGCTACCTCAGAGTCCAGGAAGCTAATTCATCTGGTAACTGCTAAACCAGGATGCCAACCACCACTAGTTCACCCTTCTGTAGAAAAGTTCAAAGTGGCTCCTGAAAATCACATGGGGCTCCTCTTCCCTGGCCTTAAATGCTAAGGACTGCAAAGCTTTCTTTTCCTGGCTTCTCCACCTACCCTTTTCTCACCCATCACTTAGGGTAACACTTCCATAAATGGGGGCTCTGGAGCAAAGGGATCATTATTAAAATGGACCGGGCTGTTATTACCCTGGCAAAAGTCACGGCTCCTGCCTCTGCTGGGCATGATGTGCAGGAACTTGTCCACGGGGAGTGAGACACCGTTTTCTCCTCCCTTGTTCCCTCTGGGAGAAGTGTTGATCCTCCCTGGTTAGGCCCATAGCCATCCCTCAACTGGGAAAAGGTGGAGAATGTCAGAGTTGTAAGTACAGGTGAGATCCCAGGGTGAGCAGACTTGGGATGTTCTGAGAGCTTGAGACACTCGGGGATAGATTGGATCCATTCAAGGAAAATAGATTCTCAGAAGCCTTAAGAAGAAAGGAGGAAAATCTGTCTTTCAACACATGGCAGGAAGTAAATCTCATACCAGGAGATTATCTACCTAAAGGCTTTGAGCCTTTTCTACCCTTCCCAGTCCAGTTCCAGCAAATATCAGCTGACTTCCAGGTTCCCTGAAGAAAGTCTGGGGCTGGGGCTTGCTCAGGGGCAGAGCACGTGTGTAGTATCCGTGAGGCCTAGAATTTGAACCTCAGCACAAAAACAAAAACAAACAAACAAAAAACCCAAAACAAAACACAAGTTGGTGAAAAAGAGTACGTGATCTGATAAAATTCTTCAATGTTCAGAACTACATAGTGAGTTTAAGACCATCTTGAACTACATAGTGAGATCCCATCTCAAAAAAACCACTACCAACAACAAAATAATAATTTATAAAGAATTCCTAGAAGCCAGGAAGCAGCACAGTAATGCTGATTATAGGAAATAATGGAAGAGGAGGAGAGGACGAGGAAGAGGGGAGAAGGGGAAGAGGGGAGGAAAGGAGGTTCTTTGATTCATACTAGAATTAGGAAAGTTTATTTAGGAAAGTGTTTCCCCTAATCCCACCCCTTTGCAGTGCTGGGGACTGGCCCACGGCCTTATGCAAGCTAGGTAAATGTTCTACTGCTGAGCTACACCCTTGCTTTCAAACTCTTTTTTCCTAAGTAGGAGGGTACTTTTTTTGTTTTTATTTTATTTTTTGGTTTTTGTTTTTAGAGACAGGGTCTCGCTTTGTAGTGCAAGCTGATCTTGAACTTGCTATGTAGCTCAAACTGGCCTATGTCCCTGGCCCAGCATTTTTTAAAAATTTAGATAACTAATAGACAAATAAATGAATGGGGCAGAACTGTGCACACCCTGTGCGGCGAGGAGAGGCACGAGGGCTCCAGAGGAGCAGCACGAGTGAGACCTTGGCTCAGTCCTCAGCACCAAACCAAGACTAGAAACAGAGAAACAGCAGCTGAGTACAGGCAGGATCCTTGACTCGGCCATGTACGGAGGGAAAATCCACCGGACATTACTGGGACAGGGACTGCCAAACTGACACAAACACTGGGTCAGTGTGACAATTCCGCAGTTCAGCCACTGTCCCGTGGTAGAGTAGAGGGACACGGCACCGGCCAGCTCCTCTCAACCAGGTCACAAAAGGCCAACACAAAGTCCCACGGGAGCTTGTGTGAGGTAATGGTGAGGGTGCCGGGCGCCCCACCACTCACCCGCGTAGGACAGCCCCGCGATCTTCACAAACAGCTCCTCTTCGGAGAAGCTCTCGGGGAGCATGAGGAAGGCTGCAGTAACCGCACTCTTCAGGTTCTTATCCAGGGCCGATCTCAGGGTGACATCTTCATTCATGGCTACGATTTTCACCTGGAAAAGCAGGATGGTCAGAGGAAAAGTGCCAGAAGTAGAGCTGAAGCTCCGGGTTTATTTTTTGCTGTGCTCTACTACTAAGTAAAGCCCTAGCCCGCTCCTTCTGACAGTGTCTTGTGAATTTGCCCAGGTAGATATCAAACTCACGGCGCTCCCGCCACAGAGCCACGGTTCATATGTGCCTGGGAACTGTCTCCAACACCCACCACCAAGATCCCAGACTATCAGTTCAGCTGACTCGAGATACTTACTGTTCTAAGTAACCCAAGAATCTCCCATCTGAGGCCAAAGTCAGAGAAATCATGCACAGAAAGGGATCACGATGACAAAACAAAATTATTCCTTTAAATGAGGAAACTTACAACAGGACTTTTTTTTTTTTTTTTTTTTGAGATAGGGTCCCACTATGCAGTTCAACTCATTATATTTCCCAGGCTGGCCTCGAACTCCTGGGGACCCTTCTGCCTCAGCCTCTTGAGTGCTAGGATTACAGCCATATGCTACCACACCTGCACCATAAGCTTAAAAAAGAAAGACTGTCCCTTGGGAACTTTAATATTTTTAAATTTTGTATTTTTTTCCATTGTTCTTCACTTAGTTTTCTAGTGGAAGAAAGGATTTTATTTCTGAAGTCAGACTGCATCTCTCTTCTTGCCCACATATAAGCTGGGCAGCTCTTGTTCTATTTCATGATTTTTAGATATACTGATTTTTTTTTTTTTTTTTTTTTTGGCTTTTTCGTTTTTATCGGTACCAGGGATTGAACTCACGACTGCCTGCTTTCAAGGCAGGCGCTTATGCCGCTGAGCTAAATCCCCAGCCCCAGATATACTGATTTTGAACTTGACTAAGAATGAAAGCAACAAAAGTTAGCTAATAGAAAAATCATGGGTTTGGAAGACAGGACTGGGCTCAAGTCCAGCTACTCCACTAGTTCTGAATTTGGGCAAATTACTTAAGTCTTCAGAATCTAAGTCCTCATCTATAAAATAAGGATACCAGATTTGCATCAAATAATTGTCACAAAATTGAATATGGAAACTGATTGTGCTACTCAATGAAAATGATTTTTCTTCTAAATATTCAGCAAAAACTGCTCTTTGGCTCTTTCTAAATCCTGTAAGACACAAACAGCTCCAGTCCATTCTGAGATTCTCTGTTCTACAGCTCACACTGCAATGAAGAGAATGTTCAAGTCTCAGCCCCATTCCTTCCCAGCTTGGTGATAATAAACACCACCCCTGCCAAAAGAATGGGGAACACACACAATCAAGCTCAGGAGCGTGCTAGCAAGATGCAATGAGACTTGCACATGAGCCCTTCCTGGGTGTGTTTCTAGGAGTGCAGCCAAAGGGGCTCCGCAGGTAGAGGATATACTGCCAGCAGTTCCGGGACGTGCAATGCTGTGGCCTCAGGACATTCTCTAGACAACTTGGAGGGCACAGCACTTCACAGCGAATCTTTTCCCATCTGCTGCTTCTGACTGACGCCCGAGGACCTCTGTGTCTGCAGCATCCCCTCCCTCCGTCAGCCATGTGGTGCTGGCAGTCACTCTGCCTCTTTCCAGGAAATGTGGTGTAAGGGGCCTTTCTCAAATACACATAGTTTAGAACAAATAAGATGACACGTGAGGGACGCACTGAAAGAAACTCCAAAATGAACTTTCATTAAGATGCGAGGAAAAAGGAGGATGATATTATCCCAGGATATAGCCTTTTTATTAATAACAAAAAGCAGTACTACAAGACCAAGACATGTAACATTTATAAACCAAGCTTAACCACCCAATTCTTTCGCCTTGCATTTTTTCTTCCTGCAGGAACACCTGTAACATGTGGGCCTTACATTTGGCTAGCAGGCCACGTCCTTGGTGTCTCCCTGCCACTGGGACCACAGTGTTCTCAGTCATTAGAGCAAAACTGAGGAGCTTCCAAGGACCCAGAGCTCCTGAGTAGCTGGTGAACCAACGGTAAATGTCCTGCAAATCAACTCCTCAATATCCTTATTTTCACACATTTAGTTAGGGAGGAATGCCTCCTGATTATTTTTTTTTCTTTTCTTTCTTTCTTTTTTTTTTTTTTTTTTTTTTTTGACACAGAGTCTTGCTAAGTATATTCCAGGCTAACCTTGAGATCACACTGTACCACAGGCTGGCCTCAAACTTACTTTGTAGTCCAGGCTACCCTTGAATTTGTGGTGATCCTCCTGCTTCAGCTTCCTGAATGCTGGGATTGCAGGCGCATGCCACAATATCTGCTTTGATTTTTATTTATTTATTTATTTATTTATTTATTTATTTATTGAGAGACGGTCTCACTATATAGTTCAGGCATTTAGGGTGGCCTTGAACTCATTACGTATTCTGGGCTGGCCTCACACTCACAGTGGTCCTCCTGCCTCAGCCTCCCAAGTGCTGGCTTTATAGGCATGTGATATTATACCTGGTTTAACTTTTTTATTGGCACATGATTATAATAAAAAGAAAAAACTTTTTCTTTTTTTTTTTTTTAAAGTGCTGGGAATTGAACCAAAGGCCTTGCATGTACCAGGTAAACACTCTACCACTGAGCTATACCTTAGCCCCCAACTTTAAGGTCCTAAAATAAGTCTTATGTTTATTCCTTGACTAACTTTCTAAAGCCTTGCATTTCATATGCAATTATTGATCTAGGAGTCCAGTTTCCTCAGTTTACTGACGGAGAAACTGAAGGCCAGGGAAGTTGCATGTTTTCTCCAGAAGCACAGCGGCTGCACGGCAGGCCAGGACCCTGTTCCCTGTGATGCTTCTCTATTACCACCCACCTCCCCTTGCTACCTCCACCTCCAGGTCCTTCTCAATAACTCTACACCTTCTCTGCTCCCCTCACTCCAGCCATCTCTCTTTTAATCTCTAAGGCTTTAAACCCAGTGACATTAGAAGCTATTCTGAAATGCTAACAATTCAAAGACAGAGAAAAGGATAAATTTGGGAGAATTTTCCTAGTTAACCAAAACCCCACTTGTTCTCCAAGAGTGTTGTTCAACTTAGGCTGTAAGAAGGCAGTCCGTTTGCTGTTGAAAATTAAGAGAGTACAGAGGCAAGTGTCCTTACTCAAAGGAGAAGTGGCAATTCAGGAGAATCTGCTACTTTGAGACCTGGCTCTTCGGAGCAAGGTGCACTAGGAACTTTCTCAGCTGCAGCGTGATTTGTGTGGGAGGGAAAAGCCCGGGCGTGCCGGGGGTGCTGCCAGAGGCTGAGAGAAGAGCCTGAGGCGGTGAATAGCTCTTTGTGCCTCCTGGGAACGCCTGCCTCACTGCACTGATGACACTAGTGCTATGCCAGGATCTTGGCTGAAGAGCGGAAGGGGCGATGGTGGGAGGGATTGTCAAAGGAGAGATTTGTGAGACTGGAATAAAGAAAAGCCACACATAGCTCCACTATGACAGTGGCGGGGACAAGCCACTTGAATTGTAAACAGCAGGGTCTTAGTCACAACCCTGCCTCACTTTGAAAGACTCAAACACTCCTCAGAGCTTTTCCACCAAAGGGCCAGTCTCCCAGTGGGGCTGTTCCCAGCACCCCTGCTGGAGGAGGAAGAAACAAATAGAGCGCCAGGCCAGCATCCCTACTTGGGACAGGGCTCCTCGAGGACAGCCACCTGGCAGCACAGAGAAGAAACTGTGTCTTTTCAGTACTGAAGGGAATGGCCTAGCCCTGTGCCTCAAAGGCTGCCGCCCAAAGTTGGCTGACAGCCGGGTAAGCCCAGAGGAGGAAGGGAGGTTTTCCACTTGCCATTTGGGCATCTTGTACCACTGGGGTTTCTTTAACTACAAAACGTAAACCAATAAAGCTACAACCCAGAGACAGTCACACAACTATAAATACACCAAAGAAACATGGAACTGTATGCTTTAAATGCCTGACTTACACACTATGTGAATTAAAGCTCCATAAAGCCATTACAAAAAATAAAGCTAAATGATTAGCAAAGAAAACATACAACAAAGAATATGTTAAAGTCTTCTTAACAAAGTGGCAAAATAGCAGTTAAACTGAATGCTTTTAAGATTCAAGCAAGTTAAAAAAATCCAACCAAACTAAAACCTCACACACAAGCAAAATTATCTGCATACTAAAAGCAATGTGAAAACAAACATCCAAAGTTAGATAAAATTATTTTAGATTTTTAAAAAATTTACAAAGGATTATCCATCACATTCTAGTAACTACTTTAAACTCTATGGTTTTTAACTTGAAAGGCGTTGTAAGGCTCAGGCTGCTGCCCTGTGGTGACCTGCTCAGCAGTACACACACACATGCACACACAGCCCGTAACTTACTCAGGAGAGGGGCGGTCTTAGAAACAAATCTGGACAGCGCCTCAATCACAGGCTAAGCAGGTAATAAAGTATGACAGAACTTAATGACACTCAACTTTCCCCAGAAATGTCTGTCTTTTTAACTTTAACTCCTTTTTAACATCCTTAACTCCTTTTAAAGACTTAACTGTCTAGCAATTGAGAAATCTGATTTGAATTTGCAAGATGACAATTTTGGAGATTTAGAAAATGTAACTCCTTTTAAATCATAAAAAACAAACTCGTATCCTCATTTTTCCTTCTCATGCTCTCACTTAAGATGATCTTGGTGGAACACACATATACTCCCAGCTATGAGGAAGGCTGAACACTAGGCCAGCTTGGGCAGTTTAACAAGATGCTGTTTCAAAATCAAAAATAAAACACCACCAGGGTGCAGCCCAGTCATACAGCACTTGCCTGGTACACATGAGGTTCTATGTTCAATCCCCCGTACTCTATGAAAGCAACAAGGAAAGAAAAATAGAGGTAGAAAGAAAGGAAAAGGCCCTGTCCCTTTTCACCAGATTTGCTTGTCTGATTAGTATCTGTTGTCACCTCAGGTTCAAAGTCATTTGACTGTCATGGCCGAGAGGTCTGGACAACAGATGCCACGGGAGGGGGCCAGGTGGGGCAGGAGTGGGAATAACCATTCGCCATTTTCAGTTTTTTTTGAAAGATAAACCAGTTTTTTTCTTTTGTTTTGGCACTGCAGATTGAGCCCAGAGTCTCTTACACACTAAATATGTGTTGCACTGAGTTATATCACTGTCTCTCATCTAATTTTCTTGTCTAGAAACTTAATAAACTTCAAGGATAACGACTGCTATCAGTAATATTTTCTTTTCTGAGTTAACTGAGAAGGGTGAGGTTTTGCTTCATATGCATATAGTTGATCCGCCTTGTCTTGAATTATTTTCATCTTATAGGAATAATGTTAGGTAAAATCTGAGGTTGGGTGAGGGTGTGCAGTTATTGGGTTCAACATTCCCCAAAACAGACAAAAAAAAAAACTACACACACACCATAGAAAAACCCTACACTATTAATGAAAAGCCAAAACCAAGAAACCACCAAAAAACCTCCTAAGATTTCATGGTCTTTCAGGTTTCTAAAAATCTAGTTTTAAAGTTTTGGAAACTCCAATTCAGTCTCATTTTATCTCAAAATAACCAAGTCAGGCAAAGACAGAAGGGGACACTGTCCTCCGTGACTGAGTGCAGCATCTCCAACCCTCATGGAGAACGCCCTGAGGTGCAGGCAGTGAGGGGACAGGGCCCAGGCAGGGACCAACTGGGAGGGGTGGTGCCCTGACCGGGGGCTGTTGGCCTCCAATCATGTGTCACTGGCTGGCTGTCAGTGTTTCTGAGGCACCAGCAGAGCAAGTATTGTGATCCCCATTCTATAGACAAGGCCACTGAGGAGGAGAAAGGCCACTGGCCAAGCTCATATAAACAGCCAATAAGCAGCAGAAATAATATAACCGAAGGCTTCTAACTCTACATTCACTCCTCTTCCTAGTGACTTACACATTTTGTAAATGTAAGAAAATCTTACAGCTGGTGTGGTGGTGCACACCAGTGGCCCAGTCCCCTAGAAAGCTGAGGCAAGAGGATCGCAAGCTTGAGCCCAGCCTGAGGAACTTATTAACTTAGCAAAGTCTGTGTCAATATAAAAAAAAAAAATAATGAGCAATCTGGGGAGGTAGCTCAGGGCAAAAGTCCTAGATTTAATTCCTTATATCACAAAACCAAAGCAAAACTGAAAAACAAACCTTGAAAAGGGTGGCACAATGGTGCAGGCCTAGTATCCTAGCTACTGAGCAGGCTGAATCAGGGCCAGACCAGGCAACTTAGTAAGACCCTGTTTAGAAATAAAATTTAAAACGGGCTGGGGATATAGCTCAGTGGTGGAGTGCTCCCTGTGTTCCATCTGTAGTACTGCAATTAAAAATGAAAAAAACTCAAAAAAACACTTAGAAATGAAACATCTACAAATTTTCAGTTATATTTATTGCTCAATTATGAGCTTTGCCACTTATCAAGCCTGGATATTAGAAATGATCTCAGTAAGTGTATTGTTCCTGGAGTGTTTAAAATTTTTTTATTGGGCTGGGGTATAGTTTGATGGTGAGTGCTCACCTAGCATGTGTGAGGCCCTGGGTTCCATCCCCAGTGCTGGAAAAAAGAAAAAACAGTTTCTATTGGAGTAAATATTTAAATTGTAAAACACACACATCACAAGGACAGCTTGCTAATTTCTACAAATGCATATACATGTTTCTGTACATTTTAATGAGCTACACTATTTTGTGTGCTGGTGCTGGAACTTAGTGCCTTATGCTAGGTAAGTGTTTACCACCAGACCACATATCCAAACTCAATTTATTTTTGTTTTTTGGAGACAAGAACTCAGTATATAGTACAACCTAGCCTTGAACTCATGATCCTCCTGCCTCAGCCTCTCGAGTGCTAGGATGACAGGTGTACATACTACGCCCAGCTTTCCAGCCTCAGTTTGAAGTTCAGGTATGTCACTAGTTCAAACTGGAGAATCACTTGGGACACAGGCAGTCCAGAGGAGAGATGCAGAGCTGTGGAATGTCTGACGTGTCTTTCTTCTCAGCTGCTCAGCTTATGATCACCACCGTCCATCCATCCAGTCGCTCCCGTGCCTGTCCTCAGTCCCTTAAGTCTGCCTGGTGGCAACCCAGGGGTGCATAGGGGCCCGCCCAGCGGCAGCTGCATTCTAGCAGGGAGCATGGTTATTCTGGTTATTTACACCAGGAGGCGCACTCGTGTCGGATTTCTGTTGACTCGGATTTAATGTGTCCAGGAATCTCCCAGGCAGCAGGGACCACAGCGCCTCATCCTGGGCTTCCTTTTCCTCTCAAGTCGCAAAGTAAGGGCCTCCTGACAGCCCACATGGGGCAACAAAGAGGTCTTACTGACACAAACCATGCAGGCGGAGCTGGTGCCAGACTAATTTCCCCCTACCACAGAGCACAAAAAAGAAGCGAGGTGCTGATGGATATGTAATAATAAACCTATCTATTATTAACAAAAAACAAGTGTGATGAGAGGAGCCCGAGTACTCTGGAGCCTGAGATTCTCTGATGCTGCACCTTGTCTTCCTCAGGAAGCGAGTAGTGCTGTGACAGCCTAGCTAGGGGTCACACCAAGGACAGGGCTTCCTCAGAAAGCTGCAGAAAGGAGGTGGGATTTGCAAATACCTGCACCTACCTTTTCTCTGGTTTCTGTCTCTTCACAAGCCAGGAGCACCTACTCCCCAGTCTCCCCCTGTAGTGTCCCTAAGGAGCCAGAGACCAAGGCCAGCCTAGATAAAACCCAGCTTCCTGTACCAATGCCACTGTGGCATGGGGGCTCCGAGGGAAGGTGGTCTGGTGGCACTGACGCACCTCAGCACCTGCAGCATCTCTTCCTGCCCAAATGGAGGGGCTCACCATCTGCTCAACCAGCTACTGGGGAGCCCGAGTGAAGGGCCCGGGCTGGGGACCTGTCTAGCCCAGAACCTCCTGTCACTGGGTAAGTGGGGTTCTTCCTCAGCAGGGATCCCCAACTCCTCACAACAGCCACGCACTCTGTGATCACACTGAGGGCAGACACATCCCCCTGCGATGCCACCCATCCACAGGTGAGGAAGTAGCTGTGAACAGGGGGTTCCCACAGCGCCTCCCTCTGGGTGATAATTTGCCAGCCAGCTCCCCACACTCAGGAAGACACTGGACTTACCAGCACCAGGTCCTGGGGGACAGTGATGGGTATTAAACTTACAACTCAGAAACTCTCTGAGCCCTGTTGTTTTAGGACAGCTGCTTTACCTGGGCCTAAGTCGGTCACTGGTGGGGAAATGCGGAAGGGAGGACAGGAGTCAGGACTGGGAGCTGAACCCTCTGTTCATTGGAAATCAGTCCCATTCCTGAGGCTACCTGGGATCATGGAGGTGATCCAGGGATGTGGTGACCCTGGGATGTGGTGCAGCCCAGCATGTGCAAGACCCTGGCAACGCACAAGAAAAACAAAAGCAGAAAGCAAAACAAAGTAAAGGCACCTCACTAGTATGAACACGAACTCGGGTGTGGCTGAAAAGGACTTGGTCACCTATCGTGAACGCCAAGGGTTTAAGAGCTCTGTGCCAGGAAACGAGCAAGAGACCAAATAAACTTTTCTTGTCTCACAGTATCACAGAGTATTATTTGCTGGTGGATTTTTTGGGGAGTGAGGATGTGACACTCATTTCTACTTCACAGATTCTCATCGTAGGGCAGTCACAAGGACCAGGGTTTGGGGATAAGAGGCTCCATGGTGGCGGCCCCCAGAAAGCACATGCACTTACTCACCGGTTTCTGAAGGCGGCCAGCAATGTACAAGTTATTCCAGCCGAGCAGGTCTTCCATCAAAGCACGGGTGCTAATCACCCCATACTTGATAAGCTGAAGGGGAAAGAGATGGGCATGAAAAAGAACAAAACACCAGGCTGCTGTTTATATAAATATAAGATACGAAGACATAAACCAAATTCCCGACCAGAGAGCACCTTGATTTCCACAGCAACACAAAACACCTACCTGTGTCCTGTCACTCAGGAGGCTGAGGCAGGAAGATCTCGGCAAGTTCGAGGGCTGCCTGGGTTATACAGTGAGTTCAAGGTCAGCCTGAACTACATACCAAGATCCTGTCTCAAAAAATCAAATAAAACAACAAAAAACCCTACTTGTGAATGCTCCCCCTCCATCAGAAACCCCACGACCAGCTTGGCCCCCAAGGCACATGAGATTAGGTAAGGACCTTGATATAGGTCCAGGTGATGTTAAGGCAGTAGGGCCCCTAAACACCATCTAGTACTAGTTCTGATGGATTACAAGGAACGAAACCAATAATTCCCCCAAGGTCTGACAAATAAGAATTTAGTTAATGCTCCTCATTTTAGAAATAAGAAAATGAGGCCCAGAAAGAATAAATGATATGCTTAATGTGGCACTGGCAATGGCAGAGTTAAACTAGGTCATCTCTTGCCCTCTCCCTGGGTTTGAGATGTCCAGTCAGTGTTTCCTGCCGGCATGAACACACCAGTGTCCTACTATCAAAGGTAAACAAACCCAAGGCAAGATGACGAGTCACTTACCCTACCATCGCACAGGATCAACGTATTGTAGTAAACTCCAGCACCATAGTTATTCTGAACAGAGGTGATCATCTTGGGCCCCAAAAACTTTAGGAAAGAGTAGTGGCTCCAATTCTTCTTCAGGTTCTTTGAATGCCACCCAATGGGGTCATCTACCGTAAAGACAAAGTCCAGCATGGCATTCTGTCGAGAATGAGGTCACATTACCTCAGAAAAGCAGCTAAATGAGAGCTCTGAAATACTCTGCTCCTATGATTAACAGAAGATCTAGGTTTGGCATTGGAAACGTAAAAGCCTTTGGGACCAACAAGAGCTCTCTTTTCATCAATGGTGACACTAAACATTTAATGTGTACTGTGCCAGGACTCTGCTTTTTTTTTTTTTTTTTTTTAAACTTTTATCAGTACCAGGGATCGAACTCACGACCGCCTGCTTGCAAGGCAGGTGTTTATGTCGCTGAGCTAAATCCCCAGCCAACCAGGACTCTTCTGAATGCTTTACATGTAATACACACAGTAACTCATTCCATCTCTAAAACAATCCCGGGAAGCGGGTCTACTATTAGCCCTATCGTACAGGAAAGGAAATAAAAGCCCAGGTATAAGCACTTGGCCCATGGACACAGAGCTCATGACGGGCAGCCTTAAATAGCCTCAAATAACGTGTTGAGCTCTTAAACTACACTGCCTTTCAGTTAAATGTAGGAAAGGTGCTCCACTTGGCTCCACAGATCAAATTAACTCACTTGGGCAAACTCTAAAGCAGTAGGTAAAGAGAGGTAAGCTGCTCGTGTAGTAGCTCAAATGACTCTGCTAGGTCTTAGCATGGAAGCTCAGTCTATGGGGCAGGAGACGCAATTTATTGGAGAAAAAATAAAGAGTGAATTAGCTTCATTCGGAATGAGTGAATGATCCACGAAGACAAAGGAGAAATTTTCCTGGCAATAATGCTAATGTCCTGAAGAATGTACAAGTACCGGGCAGGGTAGGAAGCATGTCAGGGAACCTGCCCATGTGCTCGGGAAAGCCACGCAGTCTGACACACTTATCTGAGACCAGAGAGGGAGGTGCTGGCCATGCTAGGAAACTTCCCTGCAGAAGTGCTGAGCAAAGGCAGCAGAAATTTAAGGATGGAAGAAATCTTACAGAACTCGAGGTGAGGAAAAGGCAGCAGAGGTACTGAGGCTTCAGACTGACTTGAGAGATTTCAGTGTTTGAATACAAGGACTATTAACTTGAATGTAGGGAATGAAAATGAAAGGTCTCTTCTTGGAGGATTTTCGGGACTGCTCAAAAGAGAGGCTCCAGTGAAAAATTATGCAGTCATTACAGGCTAAGGCCCGTTCACTCTGTGATCTACAAATCACCGGTGACACTCTAAATTTTAGAGGACGCCAAGTGTGGTCATGCCCATGTGTAATCCAGTACTCTGGGTGGCTGGGACAGGAGGATCCCAAGTCCGAGGCCAGGCTGGACAATTTAGCTAAACACTGTCTCAAAAACAGAAAGGGTTGGGACGTAACTCAGTGCCAGGGCCCTGAGTGCCAACTCCAGTACCGGGGGTTGGGACTCCGCTGGCGCTGTCGTCACTCTGCGTTGCACTCTGGGTTGTGACGTGAGAACAAAGGGACTCGGAGGACACGCCGCTTCGGCATGAGCGGTCCGGCTCCGAGGCCAGGCTCACCTTCTGGTCTGAATTGGGCCCGGCCTGGCGGTACACCCCGGAGCCATAGGCAAAAGCCAGGCTCAGCTCCTCGGGGAAATGGGACAGGATCCTGCGGAAAGCCACACCCGAGGTCTGCAGCGCCATGGGGAGGGGCGAGCGGGGCAAGGTCGGGGAGACTGGGGCTGAAGATCAGCCCACACCAGAAGTGGGACACCAAGAAGCCGCCGGGGCTGACGGCAGCCTACGACAGTAAGACAGGCGCCGCACGAGTATCGGAGGCGGAGACCACGCCGGCTGCGCTTCCGCCCATGGCCCCGCCTCCAGCACGCACGCTCCGTGCACGCAGGGACGGCGCTCGCTGGCGTTGTGCGAGCGCGAAGGCTCCGCAGCGGCCCCTCGTGGCCGGAGGAGCGCTCTGCAGGCCTGAGGTTGCGACTTGGCGTGAGAAGGGAGGTGTCAGCCTAGGAGTTGAAGGCCAGTTTGGGCAACATCATGAGACGCCTCTCAAAATAAAACAACAGAAAGAGGGAGAGAGAAAGGGGGCGGGGAGAGAGAAAGCAAGGCAGGGAGAGAGACAGAGACAAAGGAGAGAGAAAGGAGAGAGAGAGGAGAGAAGAGAGAGACAGGAAGGCTAAGGATGAAGGTATAACTCATTTGCAGAATACTTAACTAGCATGTGCAAGGCCCTGGATACGAGCACATCACTGTAAAAAAAAAAAAAAGAAAGAAAGAAAGAAAAGAAAAAAGGAGGAGAAGAAAATATCAGCTAACAATTTTCTCACACGTTTCTCATAGTGCCTCTCTAGTGCCCTCATTTTTCCAGATGGAGTCAAACTCAAAGAGGTAAAGCAATGTGCTTAGGATCACATCATCTTGCAGCAAAACTGGAGCTAAAACTCAGACTGGCTCCACTAGGAGCTTTTTCTGCAGGTTTGCTCGGGCCTTGAAGGCTTTAAGCAGAAACATTTAGGGTCAAATGTAACCTTGGTAGGTGCAGAAGAATGAGATGCAGGGAGTGTAATTAGGAAACTGTCACCGTGCAGGCCTGAACTCAAAACAGCCAGGTCTGGTAGAAGAGCAGGAGTGAAAAAGATTAATTCAAGTGGAAAAGTGGTTATTGGAATTTCCAATATGCTGAGGACTTTGTGATGAACAGATCAGAGTAGTTACCTTCATGAGCGCCAGGTCAATCTATGGAAGAAACACAAGCACATCATGAACACATCATACCCAGTGCTTCCAGGAGACAGATGGCCCTCCAGGGAAGAAACGTTCAACAGTCTTGCCTGGTGTGTAGGGAACAGACATGGAGAATGTCATGGCCACCTTACCAGCTCTGGGGCCAGATTTTGAAGTGTGGGAAGAAAATAGATGGGAGAGATTCTACCATAGAAGAATGAACAGGATTGAATGACAATTTTAATAGGTATCAGCTGGCCATCATGGCATATATCTGTAATCCCAGCACTTGGGAGGCTGATGTAGGAGGATTTCCATGAATTAGACCAGGCTGAACTACATAATAAGACCCTGTTGCAAAAAAAAAAAAAAGTATCAAGGCTGGGCTAGGCTGTGGCTCAGTAACAGCACACTCATAGCCTGTGTGAGGTCCCAGGGTCCATCACTAGAAATAATAACACTATATCACTTATCAAGCATTTGCTATACCCAAGAAACACTTTTTATATTTATTTCTTTTCAACATTCCAAAGACATACTGAGGCAAGTTCTTTTAAGATTATCACCATTTTTCACATTAGGAAACAGAGACCCTAAAAGGAGAAGCAAATTTCCCAACAGGAGAACAGTATGTTGGGATTTGAATCCTTAACTCCTCAGGCCAGGCTCCCTCCACTGTCCGTGCTTCTGAAGCGGCTTGGGGAGAGGAGGACACATGGGAAAAAAGCTAAATTGAGGCCATCAACAAAAGCTCAAGAGCAGCAGCACCAAGGGTCCCTGTGAGACAGAGCTGGAGGGCAGGAGGGAAGGGACTCTCTGCCCACTTGCTGGAGTCCAGCACATCGGCCTGCGAGACTGAATGGAATAGCAATAACACATGCGACCAGCTGTTGCTGTGTTTTGCAATCCTTTCTTCCCTGAGGAACTATTTCAATTCTCTTTTCACCTATTTGTAAAAGGAATTTGTGCTTATAAAAATGTAGACGTTTCACAATGTGTGTAGCATCCTCCAGAGGTAGTAAAGGCTGATCTCAGGTACTCAGTCCTCCAGATATTTTTAATGACTATATTAACATTAGACACATTTTATAGTGGAAACATATGATAGACACTATATTGCAATTTGCCTTTTCCCTCCAGTTAAATTATGAGGACTTGGTGGAGTTTTTTTTTTTTGCTGTCTTGGAGATTGAGCTCAGGGTCTTGTGTGTACTAGGCAAGCCCTTATCATTGACCTATATCCCCAGTTCATATTAGCATCACCTTCTCCTCTTAGAATAATCGGCTCTATCTCATTGTTTATTAGAGTGAAGTTTCCTGAAATATGGATGTGCCGTGAATTGTTTAAACATTTTCATATTTATGGATATGAATTTTTTCTAGGTGTCTTCTTCCTCCTGCTTTTCTTCTTTCTACTCTCCTGCTCTCCTCCTCTCCCCTGCCTCTCTCCTCCTCCTCCTTTTTTCACTTTTCCCTGGGACTAAGGATCAAAGCCAGGGCTAGGCAAGTGCTCTGCTCCTGAGCTGTACCCAATCCCTATTTTCCATTTTTACACATGCACCCAAAGTATCTGAAAGATCAATTCCTGGGTCGAAGTGTCAGCGTGTTGCTAAATTCCTCTCCAAAGACAACACCAATTCACACAGTCACTCACAGTTCAGCCCCTGGCTCTAAATAAAGGCTCTGCGATGTTCTTGCTTTCCGTGCTCCTCCCTTACTGGCGCTGGCACCTAATTATCAGTCATTTTCATGTGCTCAAACACAGGCTCCTCTGACAATGCGAGCCCACCATCTGGAAAGTTCCGGCTGCTGGGCGGTTCGCTTCTGCCCAGAGCACACATTTGTATTCGGCTGCAGAAGCCTCCCGCTTGCACTGTTCGCCAGCTCCCTTTCAATTACCGGGGCTTGCTAGTTGGAAGCTATTAAAAAGCCTGAATTTTTCAGTAATCACTTTAGGGCTCCGTCGGAAAGCTCATACTGACGAAATAAAAATGTTAGCAACTGTTTCAAGATAAATGCGGCTCGATTTGAGCAAATATTGGGCCTTATTCTTGTAGTTTAGCTCACGGTTTTCTGTTATTCTTTAACAATGACCTTACCGGATTTGGTTTCAATAAGAAAAGGATCACCTATTTTTTTTTAAGCCTGAAAAAACGTCTGTAACTTTTAAATAACTATAGCTTTTAGGCCTTAGTTTTTCCTCTAAACAGTGTTTTAAAAGGACAGAAAAAATGATTGGCCGCAGCTCCTCAGGTCATGGACCACACATTCAGGGTACCTTCCACAGGAAGGGGAGGAAGGCGTCTGATCCTGACTGTGGGGCCTGCCTGATCAGCTGGTTCATGCATCACAGCCTAGCCAGCTTCTGAGCACCCTAATACATCTTTACAGTTACTCATCTTGGACTCGAAATTGTCACCCGACCTTAAATTCAGACACTAGGATTTTTTGTTTTGAATCTTGTTACGTAGTTCAGGCTGGCCTTCAACTCACTATGTAGCTGGAGGTGGCTTTCAACTTATGGTAGTCTTTCTGTCTCAGCCTTCTAAGAACTAGGATTATAGGTAGGTATGTACCACCACACCCAGGGAACCCCAGGATTTCACAGCTGGGCGACCTTGAACAGTGATTTGAGCAACTATTTTCAAGATGATAATATGTAATCTATTAACAGGTGATTTCTTACTGTTATGTTTTTTGTTTTTGTTTTTGTTTTTGTAGTTCTGTATTACGAGTACCCTTACACCGCTTTGTTTTGTTTTGTGTTTTTCTCTTTTTCCTCTTAAATAAAAAAAAAAAAAGACAATTTAACTTCTCTGTGCCCCCAGGTCTCCCACTGCAGGAGGGACTGCAATGATACCTGATTCCCAGGACTGAGAGGAATCGTGTCTAAAAAGTGCATATGCTGACAGCTGCCACACAGGAGGCTGTCAATAAATGCTCTCCATCTTCCTTTTTTTTTTTTTTTTTTTTTTTAAGCAGCGCTGGGGTCTCTCACACTGGGCAAAGGCTCACCGAGCCACATCCCGGGCCCTGGAAGGACGATGGCACCTGTTTACATGATGGAGCAGCGGCCATAGCCAGACACATTTCTGTCCGATGCCCCCAGCTGTGTCTGCCTAGGGGAGATTTTCACAGGAACACAGGATGGTGACCGTCACCCAGCAAAGACAGAGATTCGCACAGGTGTGGGCCACTGTGTACTTCCTGCCCCCAACCCCCACGGCCTGTGCCATCTCCCTCCCACCCAGATGCCCAGGTCCCAGGCCTTTGGAGGTATATGGTAGACCTGCTTAGCCACACAACAATACCTGCGTAGTCTTTCCCCTCTGATCAATCCCTGTTGTAAGTTCATTTTAGAGATTAAAATGATCAAAACTTCAGAGGGAAAAGTGTGCATTTAAAACTTCCCTGCTTTGGCTTCAGTCCTGACTTGGCCATTTATTCTCCCAGTGACTTTGGACAACTACCTCTGGGCTTCAATGTTCACATTTATAAAGAGGGGTAATAAAACCTGCCCCCTGCAGGGCTGCCATGACAACTAAACTGTTAACCTGCTTAAAATGCTTGGAACCACACCTGACATATACTGGGTATGGTTTGTGCTAGCTCTCATCGCCACCACTGTCATCTGCTGTCCCTGAAATTCAAGCAGGTCAGCAGCTGTCTTGTACTTTTCTTTTTGCTTTTTTGTACACAGGCTCTCGCTATGTGGTTTAGGCTGGAATGAACTCCCTACATAGCCTAGGATGGCCTCAAACTCGTGATGATCCTCTTACTTCAGCCTCCTGAATGCTGGGAGAACTGGCATGTGCCACCATGTCTGGCTCCAAACAGGTGCCTGTTTTATGTCCTTGTAAAACTGGCTCTGAATTTTGGGAGAAATTGGGTTGATAAAGAACAGAGTTAGAAGAAAATGCATTAATTGTTGTGTGCCAGATCTATCTCTTGCTGCCAAGATCTGCCCCAAAGTCTAGCATGTCCCAAAGTGATTTTCATTGATCTATTTGGTGTTATTTGAAAAACAAAATTTTACACTCAACTGACTTTGTGAAATTCTGGATTAAATAGAGACAAATAGATTTTCTTGCTGTGGGATTTCTCAGGTGATTAATATGTTAAAAAGTGCCATGATGTTTCAAAAG